AACTCACTTGAATTTTAAAGCTCTATTTCATATTTTAATTCATTTTTCACATGAAAAATTTTCGGAAAATTTTACGGACTGCGCACGCAAGTCGAGGAATGATAAATGTTACTTTTCAAGGTCTTAGAACACAGAATTACTTATTAAATTTAAATATGATATTTTGGGTCATCACAATGAAATGGGTGAAAATGTTTTCCTACTAGCTCTGTAGCCTCTCGAAGATAAGTACAGACGTCTCTGTACCGATCCACAGAACTCTACTAAACTCGTTCGTGACTCGTAGAACCTATGAACCTAGAGCTCTGATACCAACTTATCACGACCCAATTTTTCCTCCGTTTGGTGTCGTGATGGCACCTAGTCTTAGGGACTAGGTAAGCCTAACATTAATGGAAACAACAATATTTTTTTAAATAACATGTAACAAGTTAAATAGAAATCTCTTAAAATTTCCAAAATTGGTAGTACGAGTCTTAAGCTCTACAAAGTTTTGCTAAACTTTTCTAAATACAACTGTTTGAAATAAAGTAAACAGTATGAATACAAATTAGAAGGTGACTCCAAAGTCTGCGAACGTAGCAGCAGGTTTACCTTGAGTCTCCACAGCAACAGTCCGCACAACTAGCTAATGATCAACTGACTTCGAAATACCTGGATCTGCACAAAAATGTGCAGAAGTGTAGAATGAACACACCACAGCGGTGCCCAGTAAGTATCAAGACTAACCTCAGTGGAGTAGAGACGAGGTACAGTCAAGACACTCACTAGTCTAATAGCCTGTGCAATAAGATATACAAAATAATATGAGACAAATAACAATAAGGGCAACAAGAACACCATTAATAATGCTCAATAATTTATGAATATAAGTACACCCGATAAAATCAAGTGTTTCAAATAAATATCTTTCACATATAATTCTTTCGAATAAATATCTTTCAAATATAATTTATTCAAATAAATACCTTTCGAATGTAATTCTTTCAAATAAATCTTTTTGAATAAAAAACCTTCCAAATTAATATTTTGAATATAATTCTTTCAATTAAAAAGTCACCATGTGACACTTCATTTCATAATCATACAACTACAGGTCTCAACCCATTTTTATATTTCCACGGCACTTCATGCCTATAATTAAATCATCATATTTTTCCGGCACGTCGTGCCCTCCTTTCATATCACAACTGCACGGACAATTCACGTGCCAAATATCATTACAAATGCATATAAGATCCACACGGTCAATTTATTTCCGATAAAGTAAGTTTAAATTTTTTAAATCAAGTAAGAAAATCAACAAAGAAATGAATTTATTTTAGAAATCATTTGGGTGCGGAAAATAACATTTCAATTAGAATGAAGCACCCAATAGTTGCTGATTTGGATGCAAAACTTATAAGAACTAAAAACACACAACAATTTTNCTCGCCGCATGTGCATAAATCAATAGTAATAATAGCACGACAGAAACCTCGTGCAAACACCCGAACATAACTCCCACAATATAACGTGCCAAAATCACATCTCATAAACTGCATCTCAAGTGCTCAAATATTACAACATATCACAGATTACCCATCAAATGCTCAATTATTACAACTTATCACATATTACACATCAAGTGCTCAAATATTACAACTTATCACAAATTGCACATCAAGTACTCAAATATCATAACTTGCCAAAAAAATCAACAATACCTTATTTTCCACAATAAGGAGCCCATGGCTTGACCATAATGTGCACAAAAATCTTACAAAATATTCGGAAGTGAACAACTCAACAAAATAATAATTCATATAAAAATCAAGGTGGCAATCACACTAAATCATCATGTAAAAATAATTTCAACAAACAAGAATCTAGGCATGACAAAATAGAGGATTTAATAAGTGCCAATAATTTTTAATTTAATACATAAGGGCGTCTAATAATTTTTAATCAATAAAATTTGCACATATAAACCAAATACGTACTCGTCACCTCGCGTACATGGTTTTCAATTACACAATTTGCACATAAGACTCATTTCCTAAGGGAAAATTCCCCCACTCGAGGTTAAGCAAGACACTTACCTTTTTGAAGTTATGCCGATATTCCAAAATCGCCTTCTTGCTTGAATTGACCTCCGGATAGCTCAAATCTATCCAAAAATTATTGTATAACTTCGTTAAAATTCATCGGAAACAATTTCGGATAATAATACGTCGACTTAAAAATTTATTCTAAAAAGTCAACAAAAGTCAATGCGGGACCCGCTTCTCGGAACCCGACATAATTTTTACGAAATCCGAACACTCATTTCGATACGAGTTCAACCATACCAATTTTATCGAATTTCAATAACAACTCGACCTCCAAATCTTACATTTTTGTTTTGGGAAGATTTTAGCAAAATTTTGATTTCTTCCATTTAAATCCAAATTAAATTATGAATATAATCATGGATTCATGAAATATAAACACTTTAGGATATAGAACACTTACCCCAACCAAGCTTGTGAAAAATCCCTCCAAAATCGCCCAAATCCGAGCTCCAAAAATCCAAAACGAAAAATGGCGACATGACTATTTTTGGTCCTAAATGTTCTGCCCAAATTCCGCTTCTGCGGACTAATTTCACGCACATGCGAGCTCGCTTTTGCGAGCAAATTCTCGCTTCTGCGACGTCCACTGGCACTGCCCTCGCACATGCGGAAGAGCTTCCGCTTCTGCGCTCACGCAGGTGCGGAAAATGCATCACACCTGCGACCCTTGCCCTTCTCACTCCAGGCCGCATCTGCGACCATTTTGTCGCTTTTGCGGTCTCGCACCTGCGACCATTTTCATCACAGGTGCGATGGTACCAGAACTGAAAAAATTCCAGAATTCCTTCAAGCAAAAATTTGGTCTGTTTAAATATCCGAAACTCGCCCGAGGCCCCCGGGACCTCAACCAATTATACTAACATGTCCCAAAATACAATACGAACTTAGTCAAGGCTTCAAACCACATCAAATAACGCCAAAATTACGAATTGCGCATCTAATCAAGTTTTGAGTTTTCAAATCTTCCAACTTCTATATTTTGCACCGAAACATATCAAATCAATCCGGAGTGACTTTAAATTTTACGCACAAGTCATAAATGACGAAATAAAGCTATTCAAATTTTCGGAATCAAAATCCGACCTCGTTATCAAAATTTCACCCTTCGGTCGGACTTTTCAAAAATCTTCCATTATCCAACTTTCGCCAAAATAGGTCGAATTATCCTATGGACTTCCAAATCCAATTCCGAACATACGCCTAAGTCCGAAATCATCATACGAAACTATTGGCATCATCAAAATTTCATTTCGGGATCGTTTGATCTAAAGTCAGCTCTCCGGTCAACTCTTTCCATTTTAAGCTTCTAAATAGGAATTGTTCTTTCAATTTAATTTTAAATCTTTCGAAAATCAAACTCGACCATACCCGCGGGTCATAATACATATTATGAAGCTGCTCGAGACCTTAAATCACTGAACGGGATGTTAATCCTTAAAACGACAAGTTAGGTCGTTACATAACCTTATCCTGCCGTGTGAGATAGCCTAAAATGACTTCTTGTTGCTCTTGCACGACCCTTACCGCTTCAACGACATATTCCTCTTCAGCATCATCGGGAGTCGCCTCCCGAACATGTCGCGGGTACCGTCTGCCGTGGACCGGCATGGCGTCGTTCCCCTTATTACAGGTATCACTGATTGAATCCTCATGCAGAAGCTGGTTTCCTTAGGTCTCATGATTGTGTGTGTTGTTAACACTTCTATGATTTTTGCTAAGAACAAATAATCAAAACACGTTAGTAAAAGAGGCAAGGACCAACTTAATTACACAACTGTCTAGGCCCCACGGTGGGCGCCAAACTGTTTATCCGTAAAACGATACAGTTGAATTTATACGTGATTTCTAGACAAGTGAATTAATTTGATCCTGAAATAATAGAAGAATTGAATAAATATGCAATACTTAGCCTTTAGATGAAGATGAAATCGCAGAAACAATAGTTCCTGGAGCAGGGGTTCCGGGCACAACAATAATGAAATCAAAAAATAAGAAGATAAAATTGTATTAAGCTTTGAATAGATTATAGTGTAAGAAAATTCGTCTCGTTTACAATGATAATAGAGCTCACTATTTATAGTTGCACCTAGGGAACAAAGTCTTAAGATCAAGCCCCTTTTTAATGTCAATTATGAGAGTCATTGAAGAATGTGTAACGGCAGGCAGTGAATGCCATATTACTTGTAACGGGCCGTGTACTTAATGCTTGTAGAATATTCTTCATTAAATGGTACCGCGTGACATGCATTTATTTCATCTTTATGAGTACCATTCTTCCCGGTCACAAACGGAATAGTTGCCCTCAGTTTTAGTTATCCTCTGCATTCGGCTCCACGTGACACTTCCTTATGCGATCATTTCATATAACATATTTTACCCTATACATAGTGTTTGTATTCTTATGGGAATAATAACACATTCAGAAATTAATTATGTTGAACAATTCAAAGATTTAGTACTCATTATTTTCTTTGTTTTGAAATGCCTTGTTGTATACATTTGATACAACTTTTTTTCTTCTTATTTTGGGTGGAACTGGTGAAACGTAAAAGAGTTGGGAAGAAAAATAGATAATTACAACTTTAATCTGAGACTCCAAAGTTAAATATTGGTAAAATATCTAATAGCCACTCGTACAATTTCTGAGTGTAGCGGAAAAAAAGGAGAAAAAAGTGAATTCCAATTAGACTTGTTCTTTAAAAAAGGAATAATGTTAAATGGATCATATACGTAACCAAAAAAAATCTCTCCGTAGCTGAATCGGAAGAAGGAATGGGACCAACAAATAAACGGCTCTGATTGGCTGAAATGCGGCGGGCTCCACGTCAGGCGGCGCAGGGGGTAATTAGAAGGAAATCTATATATAATGGACTTTAAAAGCCTCAAAAGTCCAAACCCAGTCTTCCTTGGCCTTAAACCTCATATCGGCCGCAGTCCATTAGGGTTTTGAGCTCTGAACCTCAAAGTTCAAGCCTAAGCCCATCTTCTTCTCCTTCTCCCTCCAGAAAACTTTCTTGAATTACGATTAAAAAAATAATCATAAACGATAAAGTATAAACCCTAAACCCTGCTTTAGATACAGAGGTTTTTATTTCACCATTGGTTTGCGACGTCAGTTGTTCTAAAAAGTAAGTACCTTTTTTGCGCGGAATTAATTGCTTTTGTTCATGTGTCTGTTGTTTCATGGATTCTTATGTAAATAGCATTCAAGCTTTTCCTGCATTTATATATTCGTTAGAATTGATTTTTCCTTGCATTCGTATCGTTTAAGAATTCACCTTTTGTATTTATTCTTAGATTTCCTGTTAACTTTTTTGAGAATTTTTTGATTATGGGAAGCGTGTTTCTGTGCTGCTTAACAATCATGATGTGAATTAGGGAATGGATACTCCTCCTAGTCATGTCTTGCAAGTCTGTAGGGATGTATCCCACTTGTGTTCAACGTTAGTTGTCTGTAAAGAAGCATTGAGTTTGAAAGAGTTGTGAAAAGAAAATTTAGAAGAGTATGTATCATCGAGTTAACTAGAAAGAATCATCTTTGTTCTAGGTTTTTCCGATGGTGCTTTGCATGTGATTGACAGTTCTTGGTGGGAATTAGGAAAATCTGTTGTCAGAAGAAGGTTCCTTCGAGGCAATACAGATGACACCTTCAAAGCTTTACAAATAACGCCTTTGAGGTAATAAAGCTAACACCTTAAAGGCAATACAGATAAATCCTTTGAGGCCATGCAAATAATGCCTCTGAGGCCATACAAATAGTGTATTGCACAAATGATGCCTTCGAGGCTACACAAATAACGCCTTCGGGGCCATTTATTTACTATGTTAGTGATGTTGACAAATCATTGTTGGATAATTTCAAGGGCATCACCTTTCATTAATTTTCAGTGATGTTCCATGGTTTATGCTCGAAAAATACACGTCTAAGCCCTTAAGCTATATTGCATTACTGCTGCATAGGTTCATTTATTTGTCCAATTCAAATGCCTTCATTCTTTATGCCTGAGAAAGACGAAATATTGCAGTATTGCTTCATATGTTTACTTTAAAACATTTGTATGCCAGAATTAGGTTATGAACTTTCTACCTGATTTTGTTATTTTTGCAGTAGAGTAAATGTCATCGATAAAGTAACATGTTTTTCTATTTCTATATGAACTAATGGTATAGCTCAATGAAGAATTGCAGCTAGTTGGTGTTTTTGACAATGCATGCATGTAGTTAGTTGATGAAATTATTTTAATTGGCGAAAAAAGTATCTTCATTGATCTTTTGTTTGCTTTGCTGGCAGGGTGCTCACTATGGACGCCCTAACTAGTCATAATGAGATAGCTGATTCAGAGGCACAACCGAATAAGCGCAGGCGGAAGAAGTCCATAGTTTGGGAACATTTCACAATTGAAACAATTGATGCGGACTGTACCAGGGCTTGTTGTAAGCAGTGCAAAAAGTCCTTTGCGTATATTAGTGGCTCAAAGTTAGCAGGCACCAGCCATCTCAAACGACATATTGCCTTGGGTATTTGCCCGGTGAATCGAATCAACCAGGAGAAGAATCAAACCCCATATAACCCAGCTGTGCAAACTAATGGTTCTGCAAGTGCTACTCTTAAATCAAGAAAGCGCTACAGAGCTACTCCAGGACCAACAAGTATCCCATTTGATCAGACACGTTGCTGCTATGAGATTGCAAAAATGATAATTCAGCATGACTACCCACTTGAGATGGTGGAACACTCAGGATTTAATAAGTTTGTTCGAAGTCTTCAGCCGTTATTTAGTTCAGTGAGTGTCAATACCATCCAAGACCACATTTTTAACATTTACCTGAGAGAAAAGCAAAGCCTTCTGAACATTATTAGTGCAATTCCTGGACATGTTAGCCTGACACTGGATTTAAGAACTTCAGATCAGAGTTTAGGCTATGTCTTCTTAACAGGATATTTTGTTGACTGTGATTGGAAATTGCAGCGGCGACTTCTCAATGTTATCATGATACCTTTTCCTGATTCAGAAGTTGCCTTCAATCATGCTGTTGCCGCATGTTTGACAGATTGGTGTTTAGAGTCTAAGCTATTCACTCTCACTCTGGATCGATCCTTCGCAAATGACAATGTTAGAAAAAACCTAGGACATCTACTGTCGATCAAGGGTGGAAATATTCTCAATGGTCAGCTAATAATTGGTAGTTGTTGTGCTCATGTTCTGAGCCATCTTGCACAGGATGTGTTAGATTCCATGAGAGCAATTGTTGAGAAGGTCCGCCAAAGTGTTAAGTTTGTTAAAACTGCAGATGCCCACGAAGAAAAGTTTCTAGAGCTGAAGAGACAACTTCAAGTTCCCAGTGCAAAGGAACTTATTGTTGATGACCAAACAAAATGGGATACCACATATCAAATGCTGATGAACGCTTCTGAGCTGAAACAAGTATTTTCTTGCTTGGATACTTCTGATCCTGATTATAAGGTGACTCCTACAATGGCTGAGTGGAAGCAGGTTGAAATTCTCTGTGCATACCTGAAGCTTTTCTTTGATGCAGCCAACATTTTAACTTCCTCGACATACGCAACGGCTGATGTGTTATTTCATGAAGTGTGGAAAATTCAGCTCGACCTGATGCTGGCAGCCCATAGCCAGGATCATTTCGTAAGCAATTTGACTAAACCATTGCAGGAGAAGTTTGACAAATACTGGAATGATTGCAACCTGGTTTTAGCAGTTGCTGTTGTTATGGATCCTAGGTTCAAGATGAAGATAGTCGAGTTCACCTTTAACAAGATCTATGGTGAAGAAGCTGAAACTTGGATCAAGATTGTTGATGAGGGAGTGCACGAAGTGTTTTGTGATTACATCGTGCAATCACTTCCTCCGCCTCCGCCTAATTTTGTGGATGAAGCAAATGAGAATATTATAAAATCAGAGTTCTGTCAGGAAGATAGTTTCCTTCCTAATGGTGATACATTTGCAGATTTTGATGTCTATCTCCATGACATTATGAACAATCAGCAGATGAAAACAGAGTTAGATCAGTATCTTGAAGAATCTCTCATGCCCCGTTCACAAGATTTTGATGTTTTGGGTTGGTGGAGAATAAACAGATCCAAGTACCCCACTCTCTCCAAAATGGCATCTGATATTTTATCCATCCCTGTCTGCACAGTTACTCCAGATTCTGTATTCGACACTACACCGCGAAATTTGGACAGCCACCGTAGTTCTTTGAGACCCATAACTCTTGAGGCTCTCAGTTGTGCAAAGGATTGGCTCCAATATGAATCTTGGGAGCTCCCATCCGGAGTGCCAGCATCAATGGTTAAAATGGAGTATTAGCTTTGTTAGTAAAGATTTTTTTCTTTTAGTTTCTTTTTTGTTTTCTTTTGCTCCGCCTTTATATAACATTTATGTGCACACAAGCTTATAGGTCAATGAAATTCATATTCTTTCACCAACTTTACAAAAAGAAGATTCACTCTTTCAGCTTTTCGGGAAAAAGTAGCAATATATACGGAAGCTAGTGATTGAAAAAAAAAAAATCTGCTGGTTTGATTGTTCTCGATTGTGCATAAGATTGAAGGCTGTAAGGCTATCATTACCATTGATCTGATAAAACTCAAATAAATTAGTTTCAACACTTAAAGATTGAACGCATCAAGTGAATACACATTAGAAGTGTTAGCGAAATTTGAATGCTACCTCCGTTCCCTTTTAATTGTCATTTCCATCCTTTTGCTTCACCATGTTAATTTCTCTTCACATTTATTAAGACTAAAAACAAAAGAACTAATTCTCCTTTTTGCTACTTTTAGTAAGCATGACAAGTAAAACGATGGAGGGAACATTAAATTTATTCACAAGTTACACATTAAAACTCTCACTCTTACTGTACCTGTAAACTTGGTAGTACTTGTTTAGGCTTTGATACCGAATTTTTGCCTTGGAACTTGTGGTGCAGAAGGGCACTACTGCTCATTTCGCTGTCTTCATTCTATCTGCAAGAGCTCAAAAAACCTTAGATTAGCATCACATGGTAGTCTCAAGCTCTCTCAGGAGACTCTCAAACTTGTCATATAATTTAAATTCGGCTTTCCACGAAGAAAAAAGTGTGTTGTTCATAGCTTCACTATGTCCCAACCAAGTCTCCCAACTTGCTCATCTTCACTTTTCTCCACATGTCTATTTATCCCCACACGCGATCATAGAAAGCTGCAAATCTTTGGACCAACTTAGGCAGATTCACTCAGTAATGATCCAAAATGGCCTTGCTTCTGATCCCACACTCTGCTCCAAGATCGTAGCTTTTTGTTCTACTTGTGTATCGGGTGATATGAAATATGCTCGTTCTGTGTTTGACATAATGCATGAACCAGGAGTCTTCGTTTGGAATACAATGATCAAGGGCTATTCAAGAGAAAATAGTCCAAATAATGCAGTGTCCATTTACAGAGAGATGTTAAATGACAATGTTCAACCGGACAATTATACGTTCCCCTTCTTGCTTAAGGGTTTTACTCCTGAAATATCGTTAAACACAGGGAAAAGTATGCATGCTCATATATGTAAATTCGGGTTTGAGTTAAATGAGTTTGTTCAGCATTCTTTGATTCATATGTACTGTTTAAGTGGGCAAGTTGATATGGCTCGTGGTGTATTTGATTTGAGTTGTAAAAGTGATATACTAATTTGGAATGCTATGATTTCCGGGTACAACAGGTCCAGCCAATTCGGGGAGTCAAGGAAACTCTTTTATGCAATGGAGGAGAAGCGATTGCAGCCCACTTTTGTGACTCTTGTCTCAGTAATATCAGCTCTCTCGCAGCTTAAGGATTTAGATACTGGCAACCGAGTTCATCAATATGTTAAGGACTGTAAGGTAGAGTCTAATTTGGTGTTGGACAATGCTTTGATTGACCTGTATGCGGGTTCTGGAAAGATGGATGTTGCACTTGGCCTATTTCAGAGCATGAAGCATAGAGATGTTATATCATGGACCACAATTTTCAAAGGTTTCGTGAACATTGGACAAGTTGATGTAGCTAGGAAATATTTTGATCAGATGCCAGAGAGAGACTCCATTTCTTGGACAGCTATGATTGATGGATATGTCAGAGAAAACCGATTTAAAGATGTCTTAATGCTCTTCCGTGAAATGCAAGCAGCAAAGATACGACCAGATGAGTTCACTATGGTTAGCATCCTTACCACATGTGCACATCTTGGGGCTCTTGAACTTGGAGAGTGGATCAAGGCTTACATTGACAAGCACAAGATTAAGGTTGATAGACATTTGGGGAACGCTGTCATAGACATGTACTTTAAGTGTGGGAATGTGGAAAAGGCACTGATGGTGTTTTCTGAAATGCCTTGCAAGGACAAATTCACATGGACGGCCATGATTGTCGGTCTTGCAACTAATGGAAATGGGAGAGAAGCTCTAGATATGTTTTTTGATATGTTGAGTGCTTCAGAAACACCTGATGAGGTGACTTACATTGGCGTTCTTAGTGCTTGTACTCATATGGGTATGGTAGAGGAAGGAAAAAGGTTTTTTGCTAGCATGACCTCTCAGCACGGCATTCAACCTAATGTCACACATTATGGCTGTATGGTTGATCTTCTTGGTCGAGCAGGGCTCTTGGGGGAAGCTTATGAGTTTATAAAGAATATGCCAATGAAACCAAATTCAATTGTTTGGGGAGCTCTTCTCGGTGCTTGCAGAGTTCACAAGGATGCCCAAATGGCTGAAATAGCAGCGCAACAACTTCTTCGGCTAGAGCCTGGAAATGGGGCAGTCTACGTTCTCTTGTGTAATATATATGCAGCTTGTAAGAAATGGGAAAACTTGCGCGAGATACGAAGAATAATGATGGATCAGGGAATCAAGAAGACGCCAGGTTGTAGTCTGATAGAGATGCATGGAATTGTTCATGAATTTGTTGCAGGGGATCAGTCTCATCCTCAATCTAAAAGCATCTATTTAAAGTTGGCTGAGTTGATTGAAGAATTGAAATTGGCAGGCTATGTTCCTGATACTTCAGAGGTTTCTCTTGACACAGGAGAAGAGGAGAAAGAGAACTCCCTTATTCGGCACAGTGAAAAGTTGGCGATTGCATTTGCTTTAATTCATTCTGAACTTGGATCCACTATTAGGATAGTGAAAAACCTTAGAATCTGTGCTGATTGCCACCATGTAGCAAAGTTAATATCAAAACTTTACAATAGAAAACTAGTAGTTAGAGACAGAACCCGGTTCCACCATTTTGTACAAGGTTCATGTTCCTGTAAAGATTATTGGTGATCTCTTTACACAAGGATAAGTTGCAGTAGTCCAAGTCACTACTCTCGTTTTCTTTTCTCTTTCATCTATGTCTTACATTTTTCTGGATAAGCAAAGTTTCGTAGTTAAGGCGAGTGTGATTAATTTTAATTACAACTCAAGACTTCCAACCTGTCAGACGCTGAGGAAGTTGATTGATAAATGTAAAAATTGGACACAAATTTCTCGTAATATTTAATTTGTTTTATAGCTTTTAGTTTGAGGAAAACGTATAACACTTTCTCCCTTCCCATAGGGAAAATACGTTCTCCGCTTGGACTAGGAAATAAAATACTTTTGTTTGTATTAACTGTTGTTTTTACAAAATTTAGACACTTTCAATACACAAAACTAATTCTCTTACGGCAATCCAAAAACAACTGTCATAATGAAAATTCAAACACTCACAAAAAACAAAACAAAACGTTTTCTTGACCAAGTAATATGTCTAAATTATGGACACTAATTAGAAGGCTTCATGAGTTTTATATACCCTCTAGAACTCAGAGTTTTGAAGCCTATGAACTCCACACATAGCATTAGCTGCAAAATTTCAGAGACTAACGTGGTCGCTCTGGAGCTTTATGCAACATTGGTGTCAACTCCGTTTCTCCATCATCGTTCTCATTATAGTCGTCTTCTTCCAATTCTTCATTGTGACGAAGTTCTGCAATTTTTCTCCGCATATGACGGCGCCATGCAGCTTGTATAAAGCTGGCAGCCCACGTTCTCCATTGCTGCGAGTAAAATCTAAAAGTGTGCTGTACCTGTCGACTCTGCAGCCGCCTGAACTGAGATGTAATGTACTTCACTTCCTCTGCTTCTAAGGCAAATGCCTCTACTTCTGTGAGTGCCTTTACAGTCCTAGTGGATGGCGGCAAGTTTGAACCGGATTTAGGATCCAATGCCCATGTCAGCAGTTCCTCCCCGCAGAAGTCATTTTCTTTCAGAATACCTCTGTTGAAGAAACCACTTCTTCCACCATCAGTTGTTACACTTTCTAGGTGACCACGGATTATAAACAACATTTCACCAACCGGGTCCCCTTCCCTAACTATGTACGTATTTTCTGTGCATAAACTTGGTTTCAACCGCTCACAGATTGCATCAAGCAACCTCTCGTCCATGTTCTCAAACAAGGGCACCTACAAAATAGGTCATTCACAATATTACAACAAATTCACATTAAGGATTCAACATATAAATATTATCATGCCCAAAAGTGTAAGCTTTCGTTTCATTTCTATGCACACTTATCAAATTTCTCAAAACTCTTTAAGATACTGAAACAGGGTTATCAACAAGAAAAGAGTACTTACCCTTCTGACCAAATTCAAACAAAGATGCCGCTTAATATCCCTCCTAAGATCTTTTGGCAGATTTTGCACCAAACTCTCTTCATCTACTCCTCTAGTTTCCAGCCATTTGTACTGATCATAACGCCGAACTCTCTCCCTTAGCTCAGGAGGAAGTACTCTGTGATGCATCCACTGCTCTGAGTCACGCCTTTTGACCCTCATTTCCTCAAGGCGTACCGTCAGAGACTGAAGATAGGTCTGTAGGGAAAAAAGATTCCTCAAGTTTCAACATTATTGGAATGTATGAACTTAAACGCTTTCCTAATACAACAAGTACTACCTTTATCTGTTAAAGAATTTCCATGTTCCTAAAGTTTAATAGTAGTATAGTGTAATACAATCAAGCATTCCCCATAATCAGGCAATTAGCAGTTGTTAGAAGACATTTCTCCCATTTGTTTAGGACGTAATAAGGTAGGTTATGCAATCCCTCCATTTTTATTGTTCGAACCAATCTGTATTAGGAATAATATGGAACAAGAAAGACCTAATTCCTTACTTTTTCTTCCACTCTGATCTGATTAAACAACATCAGAGAAGGATAAATACTAAAATAGGAGGAAAATCTCCTTCTTTTTCCGCTTCACCTTCCGTCTCCTACATCAAGCAGTTAGAGGAACCGAAGGAGCCATATGTTTAAAATGTTAGCAATATGAGAAGGCAGTTTTATCATTATTGAACTAATATTAAGCAAAAGCCACAAGTCCTTTAAAGGCCAATTTGACGCAAAGAGAAATAAGATCTGATAAAATTCCTATGGTGCTTATCCGATTTTGAATTCCTTGGGTCAATTTTCTCAATACTAGACTGTCAAACAAATATGCAGTTGTATTTAACTTTAACGCCAAGTATCCAGGCAATAGTGGCTATAAGTCCTGTTCAAGATATTGCCAGCTTTGACCCTTGAAAAGAAACTAAAAGAATAAAAGAAGTATGACACTGAAAAGCTTGGTACTATTCTGCATCATCTTCTAAAGAATCTGACAAGTTCAACCTTAAGAAAAATGTTCCCAGAAAAACCAAAACATAAAGGCCTCTTTAATCAACGCACCTGCATGTTTCCAATGAGAAGAGCAAATAGTAGGAGTCCAGAAATGGCCAATATTATTGAAAAGAGATTTTCCAGAGTATAGGTACTGGTTTCAAGCCCCTGACCAAGTGTGCTGTAAAAAATGAAATATCAAACTAGTTGAGCTCAGGAGGCCTTGTAAGGCAGCATTGACCAAAGGGTGATTTTCTGACTTTGGTGAACACCACACATGTACAGGGAAAATTATGAGGCAGACAAATGTTGACCAAAGACAGAGTGTGCAAAGGAGGGAAAATAACAATATTATTAGAGGCATCATATATTTGAAGTTTTACCTCAAATTCTGCAATCCCCACCACAAACAAAAACAATATTTGACAACGAAATCCTCAGAGTTAAGAACACCAGATGTTACAGCTCTTGCATATATTCCATACTGAAAGTTTTCCTCCTCAGAACATTTCTCGTCAAGAACACTCTTACCAATTTCTTGCCATTCTGTCACATTAAAGTTTCCTTCACGTGAACAATACAGATAAGATAATTTTTCATTGCACTGCTCATTTTCACTACATGCTTCATTCCAACATGTATCTTTGCGTTCGACAGATAACAGGTACCAAAAGGCCCCGAAGATCTGCATATCACAAACAACAGACTTTAAGCATTTCTGGACTCTTGAACGATGGCCTTCTCATCATGTTTGGGATTCCGCATTGGTTATTTAACTGGAGATAACTTAGCTTCTCCTAGTACCATAAACAATCAAATACTAATAACTGATGGAATTCTAGTTAGCAGCTCAGGTTAGGATGATAACAAAGTATGCCGAAAGGAAAAAAAAAAAAAAGAATCCAGTCTACCAATCGAGGTCGGGCAAAATAGCTAGGAGTAGTGTACAACTTGTGTTCGATAAGGAGGATGAAAAGAATGTAATGCAGTGTCCCAAACGGTGGCCCTTAACAAATGCATCCTATGAGTCACATTAAAGAAGTAGTCCAACGCACAAAGCTATTTGTTGTTGAGGTTTTTGTTTTTAAGATGAAATATTCTTAAAATGAGGGTGAATGGGAAATGGAGGGAAAATGAAATTTTGAGTAAAATTTTAAGTTTCCCCCTCTTGACAATGAGACATTGTCCCATATTGGAAGATGAAGACATTTTTGGTGGGTATATATATAATTGCTCTTCTTGTAGCTCTTAAAGAGTTAAGAAGAAAGCAAGCCTCGCGCCGTCGTCGTCGTCGCTCGCTCGGCTCGGCTTCGGCTTCGGCTTCGGCTTCGGATTTGGTCAAATGATCGATTGATTTTTTGGACCAAAATTATTTGTTAATAGTAAATATTAACGTAAGATTATCCGCATTTGTAACGGATATTTTTCAATCCGTGTATTGACCATTTGGCAGCCGCCTAATGCTCTTCCCACCATGAAGTGCTTGCTCCACAAACATGAAGTGCTTGCTCCACAAACATGTAATGCTTGCTCCACCATGGAGGGTGGACGTTTGGTCTTCTTCAACATTTTGCTGCTATATATATGTGCAGCAGATGTTGAAGAAAGACACTCAACACACAACACACAATTCGCTCAACAAATTGGCTATACATTTGCACTCCTTCCTCTCAGCATTTCCATACGATTTTCTGAGTTTATACTCCTTCGTTCTGCATTGTTTTTAACTTCAAACAAAGCAACTGTAAGTGTGATTTGCTACCGAACTTTGTGTTCGCTGAAACACTGGGGTTTGAAGTACCGCTATACCAGTGTGTTATTCGTTCTATCCTGGGAGGAAATAATCCATTACCTTGGGTACTAGGAGGGGATTAAATTCCTTAAGGAAACACTGTGAATTTAGTGGGCTCGAATTTATTATTGTTTCATTACGTTAACTTATATTTTGCAAAATTATTATTTACAAATACAGCAATATTGGCGGGGATAACAATCTTAAGGAATTTAATATTAATTTCTGTATTTGTGTTATTCTTATTATTCTGCAAA